GAACTCAGCACAAAGTTTTTTCAGGTTCAATTGAGCCAAGCACCGAACCGAAGACAACAGTTTACCAAATGGGTTTTGAGTGAACTGGGTCGAACAAGCAGATCCACAATTGCAGGTGTGGGAGCTATGGTAAAAGTTGCAGACTTTGATGTTGAACCTCTTAAAGATGGTGTGGGTGTGTCTTTTTTTACTTGTGCACAAGATTTGAAGAGGCTGCCCTGACTGCACTCGCTGGTTTGCCTGTTCACGTGGTTGCTTTGTGCCCACTTGACAGGTGAATTTGATCATAGTAAAACATTGGGACCAACCTTGTTAAGGTACCTTTGTTTAGTCAACTGGCCGTGGGTAGGTGCACCACCCATTTGAGTCTATTTTAGTAGGGATTGGGATGTTCACTGGGGGGTACGGGCTTTTGACAAAGGGCCAACTATGTCCCCTCTATGTAGTTGCATTGCTTGAAAGGGCTCGCAACCTCCACTTGCGGATGGGTTTGGAGGTTGTCCACTGGAGGGAAAGCAGATGGCGCCGAGCATTTCATTTCCCTCACTTGGATGTAGTCATTCCCTTTACTTCGATATATCAGCAATATTGTTCCATCCGCTGTCACCAATTTATTCCTGTAAGTCCCGATTGTGTGGCTGATTTGCCCAGGCTTACTATCCACTTGCTTGCCGCCAATGGCCTCCTGGAGTAGCAAGCCATTGCTTATCCAGCGGTGTTTGTCACATATCCTTTCTACAGACGCACAAATGACCCCAAAGGCTGGCAGATGCTCACTCCCCGCTCCCCAAAAACATACCCACATCGGGTTTGTGACAAGGGTATGAACAAGGGCTATGTACCGGAGTTGGGCCAACTCCTTGATTCAAAACTCAAAATACAGTGAGCTCCCCTTTAAATGGGTCGAAATGGGTCTGGTTTTCTGCAACATCTGCAACCCTGGCACTGCACTCAGAGGGAATACATTCGTTTGTCCCAACATATGCAGCCCGCCCAAAGGGCTGGTTTCCCTTTCGGCCCTCAGAGACTGGCGTTGGCGCCGTCGCCGCCTTGTAGGCGCCACGAGGCCGCGTGAGGCGGTCAGTGCCGGCTCCCGGCCCTTGGGGGAGCTGGACAAGATGCTGGCGAGGGCGCGGAACGCCTGAGGATGGGAAGCCCGAAATGAATGTCTGGGAGCAAAGAAACCTCAGGTTTTGCCTTGAAGGTTCAGTTTTTGTTGGGGGAATGGTTTGAGTGAGGCCTGTTGAAGATAGTGTGACAGCATAATTATGTACTTCTTGATGTATTGACAAATAGCGCTGTGGAAGGCTCCACTTGTAGGGACATTTGTCAGGTACACAAAAGCCCCGCTTCAACAGTTTGTCCTGGGCATCAATACCCAGTTGCCCAGGTGCCCTTTTTTGTTCTCCGTTTTTTGGGGAAGAGTTCCCTTGACAGTCAACCAACCAAAAAAAGGATGCCCTTTTTCCCCTTGCCACTGGGCATCTGAGAATAGCCCCAAGTTGGTGAAGGGGATCAAGTGTGGCACACTCACTGGAAGACCTTTCTCTGCAGAATGGTTTCGAACCTCAAGATGGCCAAGACCCCAAGGGTAGCAATGGGAATGGTTTGCTTCAGGGCAACCTTGGTGCTGGGATGCGAAGGGCCGACTGGCCTTTGGTGTAGCCGCGTTTTGGTTTTATGTTTTTCTGGTCAGCATTCCCATTCCCAGACTCGGCTCACCCTTTTGACTTTTTGGCCTTGCCTTTCCTTCACGCTTCTCACAGCTGGCGAAGACTATGTTTTGTTTGCAGAAGCTCTCGGCGAAGAATTCTTCGGCCTTTCAGCAGGCTGCACATTCGTGCTCAACATCCATGCCTGATATGTTTTTTGAACATTTGAGGGACTGTCCAACAATATGCCAGTAACGTGTTTGCTTCTTTCATGTTCGGCGGTTTCCTCAAAAGAGGGCCCTTCGATTTCTATGTTTCAAATATGCCTCCTTTCCTGAAAAAGATGAAAGGCGAATCCTGGAAACTGCTTCCCAGACTTTGCGCAGAGCTTCGGCCAAAGCGGCAGAAGATACTCGAGAACTGGCAAGGTGCTGACAGATATGTCACAGGAAGTCCATAGAGGTTGAACAATGGATATCTAAAACTCAGTTGCCCAAAACCGACCTTTTAACCTTTTCGTTTTCCGATGTTTATCCATTTTTAGTCATGGCCCCAAAAGGTTAACCTTTTATTTCTGGGTCCGTTGGGCAACTGAGAAAAGGGTATCTCCACCAAGTTCAACTGGGTCTTTGAAAGGTCAGGGCTTGGGCACATCCGAAACCGTTTCGCGGGTCTCCTCATCGGATCTTGCATAAAGACTGACTAAGCATGGTCGTTGTTGGGAAACATTTTGCATTTTTGCTTGTTGTGGTTTAGTGGCGGAAATCCCCACTTAACTGCCAAAATTCAATTTGTTGCTCCCCCTCCAACGTCAACCAAGGAGTGTGAAGAAGAATCAGACATGATAGGCGTGGTCTGGGGTTGGGCCAACATTTGGGCAAATTGTATCGGATCGGGTTGCGACGGTCGAACATGCTTAAGCGGGGTCAGTCCCAACCCAAGCTTGCCGGCTCTCATTGGGCAATCGGAGACAATTGGGGGACCCTGTCAGCTGAGGCCATGGCTTTGGTTGATAGGCGGAAGTTTTTTTCCGCTGTCTGCGACGAAAACCAACAAGTGACACTGACACGGATGACATGACCTTGTTCCGGGAAAGGCTCCTGCTGGTAACTAGTCACCACCGCTGACGTTGAAGCCCAAACAAAATGTCATTGCAGCGCGTGTTCTCAATGATCAAGTTTCTTAGCTTGAGCCTAGGGTGAGACCAGTATGAAGCATGCCTGGCTAAAGACTAGGGGCCCAGCGGGACAGCTCGCAGTCCTCCAACATAGTACCTGGTTGGAGGTCCCTAGAAGACAATATTTGCGTTGAAGGACAATCCTAGTGACTTAGTGGGTGGGAGGTAGTTTGTGGGCCATAGGCAGCTGGAACTCAGCGTCCTGAATAATTGAACTTGATGTTCGAAGCGACCGATTCACTCGGGGAAACCGTTAAAGGGGCCGGGGTTTGAACCGCATAGGGAAGGTATTTTCCAATGTAACCAAACCAACCCAAAGGTCAGGTTGATAGTTCTTTCAAATCACGGGGTAAAACGGTGTTTTTTTTGCAGCTTCGGACTGGTGGCTGTTGAAAGGGGATGTCAAGAAGGGCCACAAACTTTATGGCTATTTGGTTGGATCTTTGGGACTTTCACTTTTTTGGAAATCGTGGAGTTTCCATTGGGTCCACAAAGACTTAAACTTTTTGTAGAGGGGTCAACAGCAACTAAGGAAAGGGCCCCTAGTTTGACAAGCCCCTGGCTGAATTGACAACTTGAAACTTTTGGTTGGCAGGTTTCAGCGGCCGCAAAAGTTTGAACTTTGCTCAACCCGACCAGCACGTCAATTTATTCGATGCGTCCCAAAGTAGATTGTGTTTCTGTCAACACGGCTCATTGGCTTGTGCTTTTCGCTTGTGCAGCGGAGCAGCTAATTCGACAGGAACTTGCACAATGGCTCGTCTTTGCCCCTTTGCTCACGCCGGGCGGGATAAGCTGCACAACCAGCTTTCCTGGAGCCACGGTCGATATGGAAAAGAAGCGTGCGATTGGCTTAAAGCTTGGATCATGTAGAAAAAAGAAAGTGTCGATATGGAAAAGAAGCGTGGGCACTGATGGAACTCAGTTCTAAGAATCCAGGCAGCTGAAGCGCTCGTGTTCACGTGCTTCAGAGTTTGCGCCTTAGGTTTGCCGTTTGTCGGTAGGCTGAGGTGCATTGCTCCCATTCACTCACTTGCTAGCTAGACATTGCATATGGCAAGTGCGGGCTCTTTGCTTCTGATCTCTTTGGAAGCCTCCATTTCCTTGTGTGAACAGTTTCAATGGAAACCACCAGTAGGGGGACTCAGTTGCCCAAAGCCGACCTTTTAACCTTTTGGTTTTCCAATTTTTATCCATTTTCAATCATGGCCCCAAAAGGTTAACCTTTTATGTCTGGGTCCGTTGGGCAACAGAGGGGAGATTCGGTAATCCCTGAAGACAAATCTGGGCACATGGAGCAGCTCAGCCACAGCTGACAGTTGCCGGGATTGAGGTATGGAGGCCACCAAACATGTGTTGCAGGACCGTCTGAGAAGTCTCCACAGGAAATGGGCCAAACACCCAACAAAACCAAGAAATTCCAGTAGAAAGTCCTGTAGCTCGTTTCTTGGGCTGATGCTTCTCAGTAGTTGCCCAGAGTACTAGCTCCTGCT